GTGGTGGTGGCAGCTACCTTGTAGGTGACGCAGATGCTGGAGTAGTTCCAGTAGGAGCAGATATTACAGAGCGGACACATGATGAAGCTGTTTCCGCTACCACACAACTCGTTCCTACAAATTCAAACACACAGGTGCATCAACCATGACGCATGAGCGCGTCCTCACAAACTGCTTCAAAATGAACGCTGATGATGAGTTTGTACTCACGCCGGAACGTCGGTGGCCACGAGCCAGAACCCGATCAGGAAGATCACCGTCCCGACGACAGACGCCGGCAGCAGCCAGCCGGTGTAGAAGCCTGCGTGCAGACACTGTGAGACACTTGTCACCAAATAACGGTTTAACACCCGAGGTGTTTTCCTCATATTTACCTAACCAGGCAAAATAAAGCGCGATCTTCTCCCCAAAGTACTCCCTGATGTGGTCCAGAGGTTGGTAGCGTCTCCAGCAGGACCACTGGGCCCAGTAAGCATACAGGATCTGCCTCAGGCTTAAACTCTGGGGACTGAGCGGGGGGGTCGGCAGCTGATAATCTCCCTGCAAACATCGTGTCAAACATCAGCCTGGGCTTCAGTCTGGGAATCACAGACCGGGCTCGTGGTGTACATCTCACCTCGTGCAGCGGGTAGGCGGCGGTGAAGACCTGCTCGTTCACCAGACGGTCGACGCCCACCTCCCCGTTCTTCACCGAACCGTATGGAGTCCTGGCTAAGATCTCATACAGCTGGAGGGACACGAGGGTTTCAAGGAACTCAGCTTGCTTTAGCTAAGCTAGCATAACCATGTCTAGGGCTGAAACTTTTAGCATTAATAGAAAGAACCGAGCCTCCAGGACAGAGCCCTGCAGAACACCACAACCATCTCCATTCAGAACCACAGAAACATGTTTGTGTTGTTCTCAGGAAACTTTAGTGGATTGTTCAGGAAGTACAGACTCGTAAAATAAAGTGCTACACAAACACACACACGGACATTTGTGTGTGTTTGTAGAGTTTGTTTGAGGAGGAGGCGTTGCCGCTGCCAGCATCCGTCTGTTGACCGACACATCCTGGATCTGCTCGTTCGCTGGTATTTCTGCCTTTGAGCCAATCAGAGCAGCTCGCTCTCAGCTCAGATTATTGAAGCTGTGCTGGAAACTTTCCCAACACGACCAAACACACAGTTCCCGTCTGCTCGGGTTTGTAATGAAGCAGCACAAGAAATCTTAAATTCACACTTTCAGGTTCTTTGGATTAAAAACTCTTAGATGTTGGTTTGTGTTTTTGTTTGAAATATTAACATTTATTTGTCTGTTTCTATGTTCTGGATTTGTCCCCTGAAATAGTCAAACTATCCTAAAATACACCATAAATATTCCGTTTTCATTCCTACATGCACCACAGTGAAGCACGGCCACGAGTTCCTCGTTTTCTTTACTCACCACCTGGTGTCTCTGGGTCGTCTTGAAGAACGTGTCTTTGTTGTCGCTGCCCAAAAACCTGCAGGCAGGAAACAGGGAGAGTGAAGGAGGAGGAAGAGGGTGACACGGGACACAGGTCCTGAGTGTTTGTACCTCTCCAGCTTGTTGGTCCTGAACTGGCAGGTGTAGTAGTCGGGCGGGGGGTTGGGGACGTCCTGGGACATAAGGTTGGGAAGAGACAGATTGGACAGGATCTGTTCAGACCAGTTAACGATGGGGGCGGTGACCACCTGCAGGAGGACAGAGGACACGCCGTGAGATGGCTGCTGAGCGTGAGGACGGCGGCAGAGGACGTGGGCTGTACCTGCAGTGGGGCTCTGAGGCTGATCTCCTCAGCGTAGTAACAGAGCACGCTCCACGGAGCGCTGAGGAGGACAAAACAGATCCTCTTCTTTGTCTGGAGGACCTCCTTCTGCAGAGAAGAAGAAAAGAGCTCAGCGTCCTTCGCCTCCTTTCAACATCACCGCTCCAGGACCCGCGCCTCATGTAAACAGATACCTGAGTGTGGTGCGGTCAGAGGTCAAAGGTGGGAGTCTGGTAAAAGAACCTTCAGTTGTGAGCAGCTGCGTTCATGCAGCGGACAACAGTGGCGAACATCGGCCACCATATGAGGACATTTACCTTTCTGTTATCTTTCTGTTTTATCTGAATGAGTTAACGGCACAAAAACAAAAGGTCTCGGCTGTAACATCACGCATATAAAGGTGCAAAGATGCAACCAAATGCTTGCGGTGCAGCCTCGGTCCCGTTTTACAGCTGATATTCGTGCGTCGGAATCAATCTTTTAAAACACAACTGAAAACTTATTTATTTGATCTTGTAGATTAGTTAGTGATTTATCGGATGTACACTTTGTACTTTTATTGCATTTGCAATTCTAACCTGTTGTGTTACTGGGTACTAACGGGTTAATTAGTGCTTTGTTTTGTCTGGAAATGTATCTGTACCCATATGTAATTAATTTTATTTATATTTTACTATTGAGGAACACTTTGGAGTACCTCTGGTCTTTTCAATGAGCTATAATATAAATAAAGTATTGATTGATTGATTGAAAGGTGCATTTAGCTGCTGGTTAGCTTCCATCCATCGAACAGAAACACATAGAAGCACATCATCAGTAAGCCAATGATACAATAATGTCTGTTATTTATTTCCTGATATCCAAAGTGAAGGTGGCATGTGGGTCATGTGACAGTTTAGTTTCACTTCCTCCATGTTTGCCTTACCTGCAGACTCACCTGTGTTTGTTTAGCTTACCTGTTCCTGCAGAAGTCCAGAGTGTCTCAGTCTTTTCAGAAACTCCTCCCTCCACCGGCGGTGGGCGGGGCTAACACCCACGCTCTCCTCCTGCATGCTCCTTGGCTCCTCCCACACCAGCACAAAGTCTGTCCCAGAGGATCACAGGTTTGATTCCTCTGCTAAACACGCTGCGTTTGGAACGGTATGATTTTGTTTTCTACTCACCGACCCGAGTCAATCCATCACTGAAAACATTCCCATACTCAGGCTGAACTGCATTCTGGGAAATAATAAAACCTGTCAGACTGAATTTAGAGGAAAACAATCAAAGAGCAGGGTCTGTTTTCAAAAAGCTTCCTGAAACTAAGAGTTTGTAATTCTGAGGAAACTGTGAGACTTCCAGTGAACGCTTAAAGGACTGAATCCTGCTGATGATCAGAGTTATTCATGGAGCCTGGCAGGCCCTGGAGTGGAGACGAGGACCTTTAGAAGGGTTCTGAAGGAGAGAACGCTGTTTTGGAACAATGCTCTGCCATGTTTGTCTCTGCAGGCAAGGAAGGAGAAGATACACTGTTTGTACGATCCAATCAAAGACCACGAAAGAAGCATTTTATCTGTGAGGCGTCCGAGCAGCCGATCCATTCATTTCTGTGGGACAGAGACGACGTGCCGGCTTTATGAATTATTCATACGGAGCTTCCTTGTGTGCTCATTACATTAGCCGACTCACGTGTGTAAACTTGTCACCACAAACCCGCTGTTTGCATAACTGTGGAAAAATGCCACAGCACTCAGACGGCCCATGACTACACGTGGAAGTCCGCTGGAATCACGTTTTACCTGCTATTACAGTCAAATCAAATGAAATGACATTTACCTACAAACATGTACCAGTAGAAACACTAGAATAAGGAGGTGAAAGTACAAGAAAATAATTATACTCTAAATTATTTTACTGCTGTAGTGGTTTAATCTAGCCTTTTTACATTTTTATTATGCACCACGGCTGCTCTGCTGCTGTTAAATAATAAAATGTGATAAGGACTGTTCTCACTCTCCTGCTCACAAGAGTAAATAAAGAGCAGGGCGCAAGCAGCAGGGCTAACACGGCTAATGTGTTATTGATGGATGGATGGATGGATGGATGGATATATTGGATGGATGGATGGATGGATGGATGGGTGGATGGATGAATGGATGGATGATGGATGGATGATGGATGGATGCATATATTGGATGGATGGATGGATGGATATATAGAATGGATGGATGGATGGATGGATGGATGACGGATGGATGGATGCATATATTGGATGGATGGATGGATGGATATATAGGATGGATGGATGGATGGAT